AAAAAAACACAGTAAAGTGGCAGGATACAAGATCAACATACAAAAATCTATAGCATTTCTGGGACTAACCAGCAGATGGTGTAATGGTTACATCACTGGACTCCTATGTAGTTGATCATGGTTCAAGTCCCAGAGCCAGTAGCTTGAAACTCATGTCAAGCGCATGTGCATGTGTGCCCAAAATCCCAAGATGAAAATGGAAGAGAAGGGACGGCGGTGTCACTGTCCCCACTTGGGGATAATTTCTCACTTTCTGTCTCTCTGTCTCTCTCTTTCTCTGGCAAGTACATGTACCCTATAGCAAAAATCTCTCCAAAAAAAGGAGAAAAAGTCTATACCATTTGTATATACCAAAGTTATTTTCAAGCCACTAGCTTCAGAGCTCAAATTGCTGTCAGCTAGTGCCTTAACCACCACACCACCTGCTGGCCCCTAATTTTGTTATTTTTAGAACTGAATCATACAATAAGCAGCCTTTTAAATATGGCTGTTTTCACTCAGCATAATACATTTGAACTTCATCCACATAGACATGTGTATCAATGGTACAATCCTTTCTAATATACAATGCATTCTGGAGGGAAAAATTTCAATTTGTATACTGCATCGATGTACAATGAATGACTGTAAATAGATACATTTTTTTGGAGAGGTTTTTGCTATAGAGTGAGTGTGCTCGCCAGAAAGACAGAAAGAGACAAAGAGACAGAAAGTGAGAAATCATCCCCTGGGCGGATAACCATGCTGCAATCCCGTCTCCTCCATTCTCCTTTCAGGATCTTGGTCATGCATGCATGCCTGGTGTGAGTTTAAGCCACCAGGTCTGGGACTCGAACCACGTGGTTTACATGGGAGTCCAGTGATGTAGCCATTAGGCCAACTGCTTGTCCCATGTAAAAGAATAAATTTTAAAAAATAGTACAATCCTTTTTATTGTAGTATTTACTGTAGTATTCTATTGAACACATGTACCACAATTTTTATTGATCCACTAGTCAAAAGACATTTGATTATTTCCTAAATAATCTTAGAGTGCAAAGTGGTACTGAGATGAAAAATTCTGAGATTCTTTGAAGTATCATGTTCTCATCCCAGAGCTTTCCTTTCTTTGAAATTTCATCAGACAGTGCAATTTCTAAAGTTTTTTTTCCCCCTTAGGGTGAATTAAACTGTGATTTCCAAACCTTTAATTTTGTACTTAAGGGCATTAAAATACTACCGCCACTTATTTTGCAAAAGAAACTTTAATACCAATTATTTGAAGAAAAAGTTCACAAATACAGATAGCCCTTTAAATTGAATAAGGATTAAATAATTTAAAAACTTTCTATACTGTCCTTTGTTTCCTTCTATCAGCGATTCCTTCACTACTCTTCTTCTGTCTTTAAAGTCTGCACATCGGTGCTTGGAAACCTCCTCTCTTCCTAGATCTTGTTATCCAGTTCTTCTCAAACTTATATTCTCTTTTTCCTCTTAGATATGTCTTCATGGGCTCTTCTCTTGCCTCCTCTCCCAGAACACCTCTTCTCCACTCACATTTTGCTTATGGAATCATTTTGCTTCTCTTTCCTCTTCTCCCAGACTCCTCTCCTCTCTGACCAATCGGTTGTTTCCTTTCACTCCACACTCTTCTCAGTTTAATCAATTCTATGGTGCACCTACAATGTCACTGTATTTGACTACAATAGAATGAAAATGACAAATGAGGCTGGCTCTGTGGCCTCATGGTTAAGGGAGCAGATCCCACATGGCCAACTGCAAGTTTCCAGTCCTGGCCCCCAGAAGCCTAGGGAAGCATATCAGCTTGTGTGTGTGTG